TCCAAATGCTTGTTCTCTTCTACACTCTTCCAAATGCTATAATTTATCTTGGAATGGACCATCACCATTTATTTTCTTCCCTGAAACCAGACAGTGCTTTGTCTAATCCAAACCACTCAGAAGTTTGACAAACCTTAGACAGTTGCAGCTACCAATGATAAACCTTTTATGTACAGCACTCAGAGTCCGAATGGGTGGTTTTAAGGATGGGTGTTTGCCCTCAGAGAGCAACACCACTTTACAAACCCAGGGAGAATGCGAGGGTTTAATATTTTGATCAGAGAATTTTCAAACTATCAGAGGAAAAGGTTGAGCTACTTTGTATGATCAAATGTATTTTTAGTAAATTGAAGTGAAATCAAGTGCAGGGTATTTGTCTAAGGGAAATATCAAGCTATTGTAAATGTAAATATCCTTTCAGAATATCTAAATGGGGAAAGAACAAGAGAGAACTTAGAATTTATCTATGTAAGAAGCTGAACATAGTGATGATTAGAAGATCCAAGATGGGAATAACTATGATGACCCAGCAATGAAACAAGATCTTTTGAATATATTTGACTGATTCCCAGTGTTAGGTCAAGCTCACTGCCTTCTGGGCTTTATTCTTTCATTTACCAAATGAGCAGGGGATTGAGGACAGACTGAGTGAGGAAATTTCTAAGATGCCTCCCAGTTCTAAAATTGGAATAATTTAGAAGATGGGAATTTTTTAAAAAATATATTTTATTGATTTTGTACAGAGAGGAAGGGAGAGAGACAGAGAGTTAGAAACATCGATGAGAGAGAGTCATCGATCAGTTGCCTCTTGCACACCTCCTACTGGGGATATGCTCGCAACCAAGGTACATGCCCTATACAGGAATCAAACCCGGGTCCCGTCAGTCCCCAAGCCGACGCTCTATCCATTGAGCTAAACCGGTCTTGGCAGAAGATGGGAATTTAGTGGAATTCTTATGATTGTTTCTTACATTTGTTTACTTGCAAGAAGTGCTTTAGACATTTATATTCAGGTTCAAATAAAAGTGAGATCCATGGAGAGAAATTGTTTCTGCTTTGAGAACATGCACAAGATTTACCCAAAGAACACCTTGAGAACGTGGTTGGATTCTCACATTTGTATGGTTTGTTTAACCTTGCTTTTCTAATGTGTAGCTGTCCATAGGTTTCCCCTGGTGGAAAGATAAATAAAATAACTTTGGGGGAAATTGAAATCACTGCCTATATTGCTGCCTTGGCATTGGCTTTTCAGATCCTGACTGTGGGAGCACCCTGGCCTTTCCTCCTTTTGCTCCCCAGGCTTTCCCTTTTCTTCCTTCTTGTGATTCCCAGCTCCCCCTGTTTACAACAGGATTATTCCTGGCTTCCAGCCCTTGTCCATCTTGTGACTCCACTCCCATCTCTTGGGCTATCAAACTGCTTTCCATCCATTAAGCTCAGGTTTCTCCTTCTAAAAACTATGACCTCTTTCTGTACTTCTGGGTCACATGCTTTAGTCCTGAATTTCCTCTCACCTTATTGTTTTATTTGTTGCCTTCTCTCCCCCCAACTGGTAATATACTTCTCTAATACACTGCACATCGATGTAGAGTATAGCTCAGTATTTGGCTGTTTTTTAAGCGGGGCCTTGATGCTCATTCTCAGAGTTCTGAAAGCCAAAATGGCATTTTGAAATCTCAATGTTACTAGCTATGAGCCACTGGTACAAAGCATAAGGATCAATTCTAATGATAGGATATCCTAATGCAGCTGTGTGTGCGAGTGAGTGTATTTTATAAGTAGAAAGAACTCCAGTCTTCGTCAGACACTTTTCTCAGGTCAGTGCACAACTGGGCTCCACCTCCCTGGGTGCAATGGAAGACCAGCTGTTTTACAGTTGGCACCACTCTCTCTGGAAGTCCCCTGTGGAAAGAAGAAAAAGGAGGTGGCAGGAAGAAGGCGCTGCAGTAGACATGGCCAAAGATGTCCCTCTGGGTCAGAAGGGGCTCTTTTCTCAAACACTAGATTTCAGGTTTTTTAAATAATGATCACCCAGGATGAGGATGGGGATTATGATGTGAATATTCTGAAAGTAGGGAGCTTTTTACATTACAGATGTTCACATATTTTCTATCCCATTATTCCTTATGTACTAATAGTTAGGCTTAGCTAGTTTATGGTGCAATAACAAATAAACCTTGAAACCCTAAGGGATTAACAAAATAAGTATCTGTTTTTCTCTCACTTCCCAAAGGATTGGGTAGTTTTCCCTGTGTCTCTTCATAAAGGGATTCAGGGACTCAGTGATGACCTTCCAGTATATTTTAGAAACAATGTTTGTCTATTCCAATTCCATTTAATGATTATATAATCAGTTTCCTGATGAATAAAACAACTAACAGCATGAGTTCTCTTATTTATGCATGCAGATCAGCTATTCTTCCTGTTTCCCTCCCTCCCTCAGAAGTTTTCTCATTTGTTTTATCCCTTCATTGCGAAGTAATAATTGCTGCAGAGAATTAGGGCTGAGCCTGGAACAGCAGGGCCTTCTGGATCACAGCATATGGGCGTGGAAGCCTTAAGTGGAATTTGTGCTCTGAGGAACCTAAGACTTGAGATAGCTGGTCATCTTTTCATCCCAACTCTAGAACAGTAGTACCTGAGAAAAATCAGTGCCACTGTAAATATTTGTTGCATGAATGAACGAATTCACAACACTCTTAGGTTTGTCTTTATGATAAAGCTATTTTTTTCTATTATTTTACCTGTATAAAATATTCCCTAGCTTTTCCTATATTTGCAGCTGAGTGCTTTGAAACAAAGCTTTGAACTTTGCCTACTGTAATTTGACATTAGAAATTGGAGAAAGGAATATTTTCCAAATTTAGGAATTTACTTCCCCCATTTTTTTGTACTGATGTAACTTTTGAAATATAAGTAGAAATTTAGTGAAAGCTTCACATCACATATGTAAACTGCAAAGATTTTAAAAAAGAGAAATAGATGAAAGAGACAGAACTGAATTAAAATCCATTTAGTGGCATTTTGCAAATATCACCTGAAGCACTCTGTATAGTCATTTCAGCCAGTTTTAAGTATTCCAGCCCCAGGCATAGTATAGTAGAGGGACAATAAAGGTAAGATATAAATTGTGGACAAATGAGAAAAGAAATGTGTTTGATCGTGGCTTAAATAGAATGTTTGCACTTGGATGGCCCTTCTTAAGTGGCTGTCTAGAGTGGAAACGGGGGCTTGCAGAACTGTAAATCAGGCAATCTACATTCACATCTTCATGATCTACAAATTACTTATTCATTTGCTAGAGTAAAGCAGATTCATGAAATCAATACGTTTGTTATTCATTTATGCCATATACTTTTTTTTTTCATTTGGAAGAATCTATAAAGCAAACTCTTAACATTTCATTGAATTAAAAAAAAATGAGAGCATATTTCCAGCAAATGTCTTCAGTTTCCTTCCTCTGGTGTTTCCATGTTGTGTGAGGATCGCTCAAGGCTATGTTCTCCATTGGTGTGAGGTCAGTGGGTGGTCATGTTCATGTCAGGATAACGACTTGTGTAAAAGTGTTAGGGATAATCTTAGGTGCTACACTTGTGAATTAAAGACTGGAAGTTCTTACGTATTTTAAGAAAATAAAATGTTGATTTGGAGGTCACAAATATGATTTGGAGGTCATATAATCTATTTCCATGTAAAAATTAAAGAGTTTCCATGATGAATTTCAGATCAAGATATTAATTTGCGTCAATATTCATCCTACATTGATACTGTTAGGGGCTCCAAACACTTGCCTCTTACATGCACTGAGGAAGATCTGCTACTTTAATGCCAACTCTGCAAATATGCTCTGGATTCTGTGTTGTGTACATTTACCTGAAATGTTTGTTCTTGGGTAATGAATGGCAGCTATGTTCTCTGTGATGTGCTTGAATACTTTCACTTTTATGAAACTATTACTGTCAGATTGTTCCTCAAAATGAAATCCCTTTCCTGATGTAAAGTTGTGAACTTTCGAGTTTCAATAGGGAACAGGAAAAGCATGATGCTGACTGTGAGTTCAGTACACACCTGAGTTTGTGATGAAATTAAAACGAGAACTAATTTCAAGTCTGCCCCCGATGAACCTGGAGATTTGGGGAAAACTTGGGTCTCTGTCACACAGCTAAAATTATAGTCAAAATTCAGCCTAACTCTCATTATTTAGCCCTTTCATAGCCATTCTCTGAATACTGTATTAATACCTGTAGATCTGTGACAAGAACAAAATGTTGGTCCTAAACATCTGAAATATTTATTGGTATAATGAAAGGAACTGGATATTTGAAATTATCATTTTCTATTTTTAATATGACCTTGTAATTTATCTTGGTTATAATTAACATTACAAAAGTCTTATGCGTGGTGCAGCTCATTGAAATCAAATGCGTGGTGCAGCACAGAATAAGTCAAAGAGAAGAAACAGTTGTCTTCAAGATGTCTAATGTTCTGAGGACTACACAGTGCCGCAAAAGCCTGCATTTCTTTTCCCTGGGGAATGGAAAGTGTGCTTTGTCAGGGGTTTATTGCCTGCCATATATTTTCCTTGTAAAACTATTTCCATGAACCAAATTCCTCTTGAAATTATCTTGGTCCTTTGAGGGTGTGGTTCTTGGGAAATGTTCTGTGGGGAGTTGAACGAATCTGATTCTAGGTTGCTTCCTTTTACAGACATGTAGACAGCAATGTATTTTAATATTTCATAAAAGTGAACTTTTAAAAATCTCACTATCTATGTAAATTTCTCGAATTCTCCTTAACATTGTCCAATGGTTCAAACTGCTTGTAGTTTCAATAGCTTCTGTTATTGTTTTTTCTGGGGAAGGAAACTTGTTTTTTTCTTTTTTTTAAATAACAGACTTAGTAGTCACTACCTGATTTGAATAATTCAAGCCAGAAATAGCCTGACAGTGCACCGAACAAGACCTGTGTGTATAATGTGAGTTCTTTCTTTTCAATTTTAGAATCAACCTTGTCCTATGTTAGGCAGCTGGAGGCAAGAGTAAGACAGCTGGAGGAAGAGAATCGCATGCTGCCCCAGGTGGGTGACTTCAAGAAGCTCATAGCTAGTCAGTGTCATTTGAGTTGTAGCATTTTATTTGGAGTTTGAAGTTTCAATTACATTTTCTCCTTCAAATGATAGAAATCATTTTGTAAGTAGCCATTCATCAGTGTGGAGTGTGATTACTTTTCATAATGGCCATCATATTATGCAGGTTCTTAAACTGTGACAATAAAAGATGCAGATGTCTGAAATAAGAATGTAAAGTAATTTTGGAAGGAAGAAGAAAAGAAAAATGAAAGGAAATAAAAAGTACTTTGATAGCACTGCTCATACACATTATGCATGTCCTTGGTGAAAATAGAGAAGGGGCTTGTATTTAAATAAAAATTTTGCTAATTTTGAGGTAGGGAAAGCTTAGGTAGATTGACGCTGTCATATTCTAATTAAATTAGCATGTTCTAAAGTTCTCTGTGATATAATTGAACCTTTCAGCACAACAAGGTGTTGGCAGGAAGTGACAGTTCTTACTTTGGGGCCTCATTTCTTTTCCCTGGTGAATGTAAAGTGTGCTTTGTCAGGGGTTTACTGCCTGCCATATATTTTCCTCAAAAAACTATTTCCATGAGCCAAATTCCTGGTGAAATGATCTTGGTCCTTCGAGGGGTTGGTTCTTGGGAAATGTTCTGTGAGGAGTTGAGTGAATCTGATTCTAGGTTGCTTCCCTTTACAGACATGTAGACAGCAACGTATTTTAATATTTCATAAAAGTGAACTTTTAAGCATGTTCGCTATTGTTCTTTCCACATTTTGGTGATTATTTCTATCTCATAAATGACTAAGGGAAAAAATTAAAACCCAAATAGCTAGCAATAGTAGTTTAAATGGAAATACAAAGACCGGTTACAGTGCAGGAGGAGATATAGAAACATTCATACAAATATGCTTTGGGAAGACATTTTAGGTCTTTTCAAACCCTGTTTTGTGTTTTTAAATGACTTTTGGTCAGTAATGATGATTTGGACTATCAGGTTCTGCTTGTGAGAATGCCTTTCTCTTCTTCCACTGGCCAACCATCTGGCTGGAAATCATGAACTTAAGTTATCTCCCTTCTCAAACTACACATGTGTTAAACCCAGGATGAGAGAAAGGGTCATTTGTACTAGGAAAATAAAGTAAATGCAGAGTTTTTTTTTCTCTTTGCTCTTCTATACTTTTCATTTTAAAATTTTCTTTGCCATTTGCCTTTTTTTAAATTAGATTCACTATATGACTGCTAGGGCCCTGTTCCAAAAGTGAAAAAATATAATTAGTTGATTACAAACACTATCTATGGTTATACCCTCTCAGAGGCAACTGCAGATGTAAATGAAAAGAGAGAGAGAGATGTTTGTTAGTTTTCCTGTGAGTGGAAATGCTAGCTAGCATCAACATCAAAATGCTAACGTGTGTTATCGAAAAAGAGGGACTACAAATGTGAAAATGATTACAAGGTTTATTTCTAAAAATCTGCAAATGTGAGTGTTAGAGGTCTTGAAGGGAAATCAGAAGCCTTCACCTATACTTGATTTGTGTGTATATTAAATACATAGTGCTTACACAGTTAAGAGTACTTTCAAGGTATAAAGTGTTCAAGCAAATGTTCTTAAAATTCTCTATTTTCTATCAAAGAAGATTGTTTTGTTTTGTTTTCTCCACAAAAAGTGGCTAGGAAAGATCATGTTTTATTGAGTCTGAGGTGTTACTGATGTGAGATGCCCCAGTATCATATGTACCATAAAGAGGGGGGGAAATGTCAATAATTATTTCTAGTCAGATTCTTGCTAATATCAGCGATGGTAACATGGAAAATTATATAGAATTAAACAGATGTGTATGTGCCCAAATTACTTTAATGCAAAGAATAATCCATTGTTTTAAATAATATGCAAAGAAAACAATAGCTCTCTCTCAGTTCAAAAGCAATATTTCCATTAAATTTCTCTACTTGTTAGTGATGTTTTCATTTACAGCTAAAACACATACAATAGAATCACTAGTTACCATTACTTGGTAGAAACACAACTGAAATGAGCATAGACAGTGAGAGTCATAAAAGGGAATCCTTGTGGAAGACCGGGACTTGGGCTGGAAAACACACAGGCTATGCAATTTGAGATGTCATTGGGACCGTTACAAATAATTATGTGATTTCCCTGCAGAAACGATTTCTGATTGCATGATGTTAGCTGATTTGCAAGGTCAATTCAATGCAACAAGCTAACATCACTGCATAAAATAGTCTCAGTATCTGAAAACTTGATTTTCAGTTTAAGAGCTTTCTCACTGTGCAGTTAATTAGAAGGAATTCTTTTTTGTTCCCAAGTTTTTTTTTTTAAAAATATGAACACTTACCTTTGGATAAATAGGAATAAGAATATAGTTAGCAATTGATATTCCAAGTATATCAAATATCTTTTGTGGCTGGGTCCAGCTTCTTTGCTGATAATTTAGTGTTTAGAATAATTATGTAAAGCATTTTCCCGGAGGATGAAATCTCCATGGCTCATTTTTATTCCTTATATAAAATTGCATATAATGAAAAGAAAGTCACAACCTTTCCTTAGCTATGCATATTTTAAAATAAGCAAAGTGAGTGTCATAAATGTTGTGGATTTCTCTCTGGTTAGATGCAAAGGCTTCCATTTTTTAATTTATACATGACAAGGTTCCACCCAGCTCTTAAATTTTGTAGGCCTGAGTGTAAATAAAGTTTGGGTCCAGTCTTATACCCATGCAAAGTTATCAAATCCTAGAATTGAAGGGTTTATATGCAAGGACAGAGAGAAAACCGTAGTGAAGACTAAGTTGGTTCTACCCAGTGGTACAAAGGAGCCCACAGGAAGTGTAGATAGAATATTAATATGTTCCATGCCAGGCCAAGTATGTAGTTTGCCCGGGAGCACAGAGCTCTCGGCTCTGCCATGGTTTAAGGTACAGACAATTAAGCTGTACCTTAAATCTAATTTGTGAACACAGTTACCAAAGGTGTCCTAAAATAAGAAGTCTCATTATTTTCAGAAAATGCAGTGGTATTTGATAGGTATTATTTGAAAGGAAATGCCTTTTTTTTTTAACTTTTTATTTTGATAGGAAAACAATATGAGATCTACTCTCTTAAAGATCTTTACATGTACAATACAGTATTGTCTATTGGTATGAGTTTGTCATTAGATCTTGGGAACTTATTCAGCTTCCATAACTGAAACTGTATACATGTTGACTATAAACTCCCCTTTCCCCCAATCCCTGACAACCACCATTCTTTCTTTCAATGGATTTGTCTATTTTAAATATCTCATATAAATGGAATCATGTGGAATTTGTCATTTTGTGACAGTTTATTTCACTTGGCATATTACCATGTGATCCAGATATCTTACTTCTGGATATTAATCCTAAAGAATTGCAATTAGAATCTCAAAAAGATATCTGTATTTCCATGTTCACTGCAGTACTATTTACAACAACCAAGATGTGGAAGCAGCCTAACTGTCCATCAGAAAATATGGTGTATACATACAATGGGATAGGAATTTGCCTTTAAAAAGCAGGAAATCCTGCAATATGTGACAACATGAATGATCCCTGAATGTGCTTCCTGAAAGTTGGTGCAAATGATTACTAACAATCACTTGAACGTAGATATTTCTTAACCACCTAAACATTTTTTAAAATTACACTTAAAAACATTTCAAAGAATTGCATCTAACCTCTCAAATACTAAAATTGCTCAGACTGGCCTGTGAATTCCATTCTGTGTATATTTAATATGAGATGAACCATAAATGAAGTTTGTGTGTTAAATATAGCTGCTTTATATTAAGTTTGACTAACTTTTAAATCAAGTGAGGTAGAATCAAGCACAGAAAAATAAGTAGGAATTAATGAAACAAAAGACCCAATATGGTGTAAAATTATTGCAAGGGATTTTATATCTAATTTAAAAATATATTTTTATTGATTTTTTAAATATATTTAAGATATATTTAAATGAGAGAGAATCATTGATTGGCTGCATCCTGCATGCCCCTTACTGAGGATTGAGCTGGCAATCCAAGCATGTGCCCTGACTAGGAATTGAATCATGACCTCCTGGTTCATAGGTCAGTGCTCAGTCACTGAGCCTCACTGGCTGGTCAGAATTTTATATCAAGTTTAAATGGAACATACCTATTACCTGTATACTTTTACATATAAACACAAACTTTCTGTGGAGAAAGATTTTCAGAGTTGGATAAAGCCTTACATATTACATAGGGCAATCCTCTCTTTCAGTAAAGGCATAGAAGGCTCAGAGGGGAGGAGACAGCTGATTAAGGGCCGACTAAGGCCAAGATGTAGGGCCCGTTCAGTGTCCTCTCCAGCATATACATAGTGCCTCTTTTAGTCACTTTATAACATAAAATTCAATGTATTAAGTTATTAAATGTGTTTTTTATCTTACTGTCAAATTCTTTTTTCACCATGTCTTAAAAATTAACATGGTATCTACTTAGCCATCTAAGATTTCTTAAACATTTATTCTGTTTCTGCTTTAAGGGAAATACTCTGTATTTCTTAAATTTGTGAAAATTCATTGTAGTCTTGACTCTGACACATTTTTTAAATGTTTTAGAATCAGTTTGGTTGTACTCAAATTTGCATGAAAAATTCATACTCCACAGGACGGAGTCCGAGGGGCCAGGGGGTAGGCAGGTAGGGGCACAGATAGTTACAGTTACAGTAGTAGTTTTCAAGGTATATACCCATAAAGTTTGATATTTTAGCCAAATTCAGACACCTTGCTTAGATCTCTCTGCTCATTCCATTGTCCTTTCCTTGGTGTCAAGAGGATTTTTAATTCAGACCTACCGTATTTTCCGGCATATAAGACGACCCCCTAATTTTACAGTTAAAACATAGGTTTAGGCCTATATTCGCTGTATAGGACTACCCCCCACTTCCGAGGCAACACCAGTTCTTTTTTTAATAGACCGCCTCTCTGACTCTGGCCAATC